GCAGCTCTATTCTGGAAAAGGGGGCGGGGAGCAGCAGCTCATTTGCATTTAAAGAGACAGGCACGAAAAACAGCCTGTTTCTGCTTCCTCTCAAAATAGGCATTTTCAAAATGATATAATAAATGATCTGTGGCGTATTTTAAGCTGAAACTTCACAGACACATTCTGGGGACACCTGAGACTTATATTACCTATTGCAAAAAGGGGCATGATATGTCTCCTTTAAGTAATGTAATTCTCTAAAATCTGCAGTGTGCTACATTAAATTTTGTAGGGCAAATGTAAATTAGTCAAGTAGTCAAAAATTTTTTTGCCTTTGGCATTACTAAAAAAGTAGCATGCTTTGCATGGTACTTAACGAGGAGAGTAAAAATGTTGAAATTAAGTGTTTTTGAAAAAAGGGTGAAATTGGATAATATTTAATATACAGTTACAATTACAATACCTGTGTGTTGGGATTTAAAACCATTTCAATTAAAGGCACCGTAGGTGATCTGATTCAAAACCATTTTTTGTTATGCTGGTTGAAAGTCTCTTCACATTCTGATGGCAATCACCAAGTTAAGTGGTCTAAATATATTTATATCATCTGTGGAGGGTGTAGGATCATGAAACATTTGCCCAATCCACTGATTTATATAATGACTGGGTTGCTCACTGCATTCTGCCATTAGGTGGTGAAGCCACCAGAAGTGTTCGAGCGGCCAACTTATTATTCCCTACCAACAGAGGGCATCATTGACTGACAGCCAAAACCTTGACCTAAAATCACCCGATTTGAAGTGTAGCCTACCAGTCAGACAGGATTCGTTTTTAGGATATGTGTATGTAAATGAATTGTTACTTTTGATGTGATCTGCAATGTTTATGGTCTTTTCAGACAGGATAAGCGATATATTGAAATCATTTAGGTGGGCGTCTGCTGTGCACTGCCGACACAGGTAACTGATCCAACACAAAATATATTTCTTTATATATGTATTTATGCAGAACATGAACATATATCTGGTATTAGTATCAGAAATTGATTCAAATGTACACTAAATATCACAATACAAGCCTCTGTACTATATTGCTCTATAATGTATTGAAATTACCATGCATCATCTTGGAAATAAAGCTTCATGTCTTTAAGTCCGTACCGTATGTATTCTGCATTTCTCTGAATAAGTTATGATGCATTTTATTTCCTGAATGAGCAACATTTATTTCACACTCTTCAAGACTGTGCAAATTCTATGGAGTTTTACTAGCATTGCAGTTTCCATATGAGTAAAATGTATATGTTGTTGAATTAATTATTAATTTAACCAAAGTTTAAATAATAAACACAATATAACAACATAATTACATAAATTATATGGCTGCCCACTGCTCTGGGTGTGTGTGTGTGTGTGTGTATGTGTGTGTGTGTTCACTACTCACTGCTGTGTGTGTGCACTTGGATAGGATAATTGCAGAGCACAAATTTTGTGTATGGGACACCATTTTTGTCCATGTCACCACTTCTTAAACAAATAACCATTTACATAGGACGTTTGTGTTGTAAGAATGTACAGGGAGACTTCAGATATAAAAACACTGACTCATTAGGTGATGTTTTCTCATTGAAATCATATTAATTTGTATTTTGTATTAATTTCTTATTACGTAATTCATTAGAATGTATGGAAATACTGGGGAATACCAATATGGCGGCACAGTGGCTTCACTTTTATCCAGTTCTCTATTATATCTGAGATCAGTGGTCCAGTCATATCTCTCGGTCCGAAGGCTATGACAGGCTGTCCTACCTGCCTGTCAGCGTATGTATTTGCATACATACATTGTACGTGCAGACATGATATGTCATCAGCGTGTTCCATTACGCTATTGGAGACAGAACGAGTATATCATATTATGAGCTTTGTACCGTAATGTTTTCTCACCGGTAAATGAGACATGAGGTAATCTGACGGCATTGCGTTCAGCCCTCCACCAACGCCGTCTCTCATCGTGTCGCTGGTTAGACTGTGGTCTGCCTGTGCGTGTTCATGTGTTTTGGAGGAGGCGTGGCTTTGGAGAGTGATTTGAAGGGAGGGTGGGAGAGGCTATTGCTAGTCTCTCCAAAATCGCCTACCCTACCTTTAACGATGTACATGATTAGATCATCTAAATTCAACAAGTACATGAGGTGACCCGCTCCATGAAAAAACTATTTTTTAAAACCGCTATTAATTTTTTTATATTTAAAGCTTTTTTAATAAGTAAAAAATCACAGAGTACACCTTTAAGACATCTGTTCTTAATGTGCTGAGCAGCAAGTCGCAGAGCTGAATCTGTCTGGCTGGTTGTTCAGTGCAGTGGGGCATTTGCCAAGTCTCTGCTCCTACATCTCCCACCCAAATCATGCAGCATTGGGAACTGTAGGAGGTAAAAGCAAAATGCCTAAAGTAACCTCATGTATGGCGTTTCAGTAGCCTTGGAAATGAATTAGACGACCATGATCAAAGCCCTTGTGCAAAATGTGTCTGATGGTGCATTCACAGATTGACTGAGACTTTGTGTGGAATGGGATACTAGTGTTCTGCTTAATACTGCACTATAGTAAATCTAATTTTTCCCCATTTCCTAATAATTTACACAGTGGTAGAACATTTTATTTATTTATTTAATGAATTTCAGTTTATCCAATGTTCTTTGATTCTTGCAAGAATCTTATTGAAGCCCTTTAAGACTGGTTCCAGATCATGTAAGAAAACCTATTAGCATTCCTTTTAGACTTTTATGTTGTAATTAGATTAATTTAAAAGCAATATGTCAATGGAAGACCACAGGATAAAACAAAAAACTGAGAGAGAGAGAGAGAGAGAGACTGTAATACATGTAGTGCTGGAGGAGGCAGGGCATCGTGCCTTTTGTTGATGCTGCTGCATGAGACTACATTCACTTCTGCCTGTGGGATGCTGTGAGAGACTCTTTACAACACTGAAACCTACATCACCTAGATCTTTTCTATTCATTACTGCAATTTATAGGAACTTTCATAGGAACATGGGAATTTGGGAATATACTCTTTATTTTACCACCACAACCTGCCTATGGAGTGGTAAGAATCCTAATGGACATTTGATTATGAAACACCCGTGAGCATTGCTGAATTATTGGCTCTATTTAAGTTATTTTAAGTCAAACTGTTTAATAATAGTTTCTGCTTACTTGTAAGATTGGTGTTACATGTCTGCTGTAACACACTGACATGTAACACAATCTGTAAAATTGATGTTTTGGTTTGAGACTTGTTTATATGAGGATACAGGCCAGAATGGCAATTGGGGTTAATAGGTAAGGACAATATTTTCCTGAGTCTGATCAAATATAAGGTTATGGCTTTATGGTGGCAGTTTACATTTGCAGATATATGTATGCCCTATATAATGTTGCTTGAATCTGCTTTGCTCTGAGTCAGTTTATCTTAATTTTTCTATTTGCTCTGGTTTTTATAATTAGGGTCTTTGACTGCACTTTGAAGATGTGGTTACACTGGATGCGTTGTCTTTGTGTACAGTAAAATGTCTCTGCTACTGGCAAGGGAGTCCAGCTCTCAGGTTTCTTTGTTAGACACTCATGAATCACAGGTGCCTTTTTGAATAAAGAAGAGGCCTGACGTAATCTAGAGGATTGATTATGAATGGATGTGATCTTAAGGGAATTACACTGGGAAAAAGATCCCTTTTATTATCCAGCTAGATGAGAGCGGGCACTGATTGAAATTTGGGAAAGAAGCTAGAGTTACCTATGATTTGCTTTTTACTTACAACATGTACTTTAACATCTTTAACAAAATCTTCACGAAGTATATCAAATATCTCTATGCTGTTTGCTGTCCAAATCTGGCAAATGTTAAAAATAGTTCAAACAGGGAGTTAGATCCATACTTAAGGAAAGTGGTTGAGTCCAATCAGTCAGACTTCCTGGTGGAGATTTAATCACTGAAACCCAGCAGAAAAGCTTTGATGAGAGTTTCAGATCAATACACGTACATCCAAATGAGCTGGAACAGCTACCTCTGTTGATTTGCAAGCGTTCTCCTGAATATCTCATTCACTTCACGCTGCAAACCTCTTCTGGAAGCAGTTCGCAGTGCACAATGACTCTAGGTGAAACTCTGCAACCGTGTCACATTGTTCATTCTCTGACAGTGTCGCTTCAGGGAGAGCAGCAGAGGAGACTCTACAGAGACTTGATGAAAGACTATAACCCACTGGAGAGACCTGTGTTTAATGACACACACTCACTCACTGTGTATTTCAGCTTCAGTCTCATGCAGATTATGGATGTGGTAAGTTAATTAATTCAATAATAAAAGAATAATAAAACACTGAATAAACCCTGACAAAGTGTGTAAATTTGTTTCACTAGCAGGTTATACCATATCATTATAGTCTCTAGTCTTTTTCACAAAAATAAAAAAATTAAAATTCCACAGATTGTTACCAAAAAAATATTTTCCAAATAATGCTCTGTTCACGTTGAATTCCACCAAGAATACAGTAGCTGCAGGTACTGTACATGTTTAATGTTTTGGAAACATGCATAGTCACATTTTACAATAAAATAGGATAAGGGAAAATATTTAAAAATAAAATGCGGAAGTGAGGTCAGGAAGAGATGTAGAGACATCAAAGCAAGTATTACAAGCTTTTGAAGATGGCAACATAAACATTTTGGAAAGCTAGGACAGATCATGTGTCACAGTTCATTCAACAATAGACCTTGAAGGGTAAAAGCCATATTGAATTTTACGCAGATGAAAATGAAGCTGTGAGGGATAGACTTACAGTCTATACAACTGCATGCACTGGACAAAAGTCTAAATGAGTTTTTGTCTATACTGAAAGATTTTTGGAAAAATAATTCATCAGCTGAAAAACTGCATATATGTTCTGCATAGATGTATGTCCTGATAGATGTGAAGAAAATCATAAGACTGCCTCGAATTATTCATGTTGTATACTTTGTTCCCTCGTGAAAAAGTAGTGCACTTAACTGTATTGAACATGAACATGTACTGTACCTCAAATCTAAGTACTTACAGATAATATAATATTAATGAAATAAAAGATCACTTAAGTGTAGTGAGTTTATGGGACCCACTTTATATTAAGCGTCCTTGATCAGTGATACAATGCACTTATTGTGTACATGTTTTTAAATTGTACTTATATTTGAACATACCATCCTGTAATTGCATCTGTAATTAATTTCTGTAGTTACACCTGTAATTACACTGTTGACCCTCCCTCTACCCTTTAAACCTAACAATACCTCCTAACCTGCCCCTAACCTTACCCGTATCCCGCTTCAATAGCAGCAAAAGTATTTAGCATTTCAACATTAACACAATAGGTGCATTGTACCTAACAATTCATTATTTTATCATTAAGTACATAGTATTTAAAGACACCTAATATAAAGTGGGACCAGTTTAAGACACACTTAAGTAAAGTGCACATTGTAATAATGTCAAATGAAAAGTTTTCTTCGTGTTTTAAAGAAGTACATTTATTTTTATATGTTGAGTGACATACTAAAGCACATGTAAAGTATTTGATCTCATTGTAGTGTGTTATTCTGCATTGCATTTGAAGTCAATATTTAAAAAAAAATACTAAATTGCAACTTCATCATGACAAATGTGTAATTACAAATATATTTAAGTGCATGACATGCAAGTTTTAACAGAAATGACATTACATTAATGAATGTCAGTACATTCAGCAGTACACTTTAACGATATTTCAAAGGCAATAGAAGTTACATACGTATAAAGATGTACTTAAGTCATGCTTAAGAGGGTCAGAAAGCAATCTAAAGTTCAATAATACATTTTCATTCAATTGCGGTTAGCATGCAGTTAGGTGTCCTCTTTTTAAAAGCACTGTTTTTAAAAGTATGCTAATGTGTATTCTTACCCGTTGTGTTTTAATGTAAAATATGGTTTTAAACCATTTTTTGAAAGTAGTTCTTTAATCAGATTTTCAGTTTTCATAAGAGCATCTTTGTCCATCTACAGGATGAGAAGAATCAAGTACTTACAACCAACATTTGGTTACAGCTGGTAAGAAAGACACCAACACTTATCACTGTCTGACAGACTGCTCATTGGTAATGCAGTGAAACAGTCATGTTCGTTTAATGTGACTTGTAGAAGACCTCTCTGTGGATCTGTTATTAATAGCTGAATGTTAATAACTGTGAAGGTAATGCAATTGATTTGTCTCTGCTTCCATGACAGTCCTTCAAATGTTGTCCTTGGTCAATGCTGTACACCACCAAGTGTGTCTATGAATCTGAAAACCTTATTAACTGCATTTAAAGATCTCAGCAGTCTATCAGTAAATATACATTGCATCTAATTTACATTTATTTGACTTTGCCCCATAAAAAAAATCTTAAAGGGGTCATATGATGCTTTTTTAAAGATCATTATTTTGTGTATTTGGTGTAACAGAATATGTTGACATGCTTTAATGTTCAAAAAACACATTATTTTTCAAATACTGTACATTATTGTAGGTCCTCTATGCCCCGCCTCTCTCAAACGCTTCGTTTTCTACAAAGCCCCCTCCTTTGACAAGCGCAGTCCGCTCTGATTGGCCATCCGCATTACCTCCTCTCCTAGGTTCACGAAACGGTCGTCCATAAAATGCATTGCTGTTCTGTTGTAAGTAATCTTAAAGATTCCTAAATGCATCTACTTTCGGAAGGCTAAATAAAGTGCTTTTGCTTTCGCCTAGAAACACACAGCGTCTCCTTGACATGGCTGCTTCAACACTAACTGCGGTTACTGACACCATGCCTTCTTTCTTTGCGTGCACATTTGCGGCGGGATTATGCAAATATTTCCACATAGTGGGGTAGATATGTGGGGGCGTGTTAGAATGAGCCGTTTTAGGGGGGCGTGGCAGAGTCTTAACTTTGATAAATAATATCTCTTTGGTTTTGAGACTTTAGTCTTTGCAACTTCAGGGATCTTATCTATGCACAATCAGCTTGTAACACTCCAAAGAGAAAGGAAAACTTGAAATCGCATCATATGACCCCTTTAACAGAATTTAAATTGAATTATGAATTATAATTAATGTTTCATGTATGCAGCTTCATAGCATTTCTGCCCTAAGAAACATTTTTTGTGCATACGTGCATGCGTAGAAAAGCTCTTTATAGATTATGATGAGTATATGATGTATCTAACGCTTAAAGAAGACCATGCAGAGACTCAGGTTCTGATTCAAGTTAATGTCATGCCTAATTCAGTTTGCACCAAGCATATATTTTTAAGTATAAATTTCCATGTTGTTCCAAATTGACAATGATGAAGTGAACTTCTCTTTATTTTAGTACTGGTATGACTACTATCTTCAGTGGAACACTTCTGAATATCCTGGAGTGGCGAGTGTACGATTTCCTGACAGTCAGATCTGGAAGCCTGACATCTTACTGTATAACAGGTTTGTTACATTCACACAGAGTTATTGATAAACTCATGTTTAATTGGCTTATCAAAAGGTCCATAGAAACCAAGCATAGCTTTAGAAGTTTAAACCCTGTTTGTGAACGATTTCTTGGGAGTTGGTAGATTGTCAGGGGAAAAGTGCTGGTAACAGTGCATGGACACTGAGTTTACACTACACCATGGAAAACAAAGGTTTGGCCTCATTTGTCACTGTCTACTGGAAAAGCAGTGGTAGATGGTAAAGAATTAGCTTCAAGTGAATCTGCCACAGGAAATGAAGAGTTTGCCACTATGTTGAGGTCAAATGAATCAAGTCAGTGAATCACTAAATGGAAGCTAAAATGGAATCAATTGTGAGGTTATATGTCCAGTGGTATAAAATTGCAATTTCATTTTATTTTGTGAAAAAGCATTAATTTTGTTAGTGAACATCTTGGTTATGTTGGTTTAGCATCCTGGACCACTGTGGTCTTTCCCTTGGGGATTTCTGAGAGTGAATTCTTTATTCTCGAACATACCTCCATTATCTGAATGAGAAGTCATTTAAACAAACACATTTACATAATTGGAACATAAATCTGAACATGGCACAAGGCAGTTTTGGTTTGTCATTTCCCTGAAATCCAGTAATTACTGCACAGCCATTAGTGGTGCAAAATAAGTCAGTGTAGATGAAATGCATTAACTTTGTATTGGACTAATCGGAAGTATTTCTAAGTGTTCCTCTGAGATGTTCATAAATCACTGTTGTATTCTTTTTAGTTAAAATGATTCTTATGTTCTCCACAGTGCTGATGAAAGGTTTGATGCCACATTTCATACTAATGTGCTGGTGAATTCCTCTGGTGCCTGCCAATACCTACCGCCAGGTACTTATATTTTATACGTTTATAATGCTACAAGTAATTTTTCCCACTTGATCTAGAAAGGGGAGGATTATATAGAAGCCTTTTTCAGCTCAGAGTGAAAAATAAAATATGTATTTGTGAGATAAAATAAGGAATGAATCACTGAACTAAAGGTGCATTCAAGTCATGTCGGATCGATCGTATTTACGAGTTGAACGCACATGAACGCCACCACAAAGTCGTTATTACGAGTGGGAAACTCGAAATTTTCTTTAAGCCCCGAGTTTCCGAGTTGGGGGCGTGTCAATGAGAAACATGGCGGTATCGATGGATGCAACTGTAGTTGACGGTAAATTTTTGTTTAAATTGATAGTTTAGTTGTCCTATAAACTTAAATTGGTCATGTTCTTGTTACGCAGCTGAAATCCAAGTAAAAAAATGCAGACCCTGTTGTATTTTCTTGTAATTTATTAAAAGAACACATCTTGTGCCGACTAAACTGACTTGAACACACCTGACGTCGTAATTACGACTTGTCAACTCGTAAGTACGAACGTCCCAGGAGGACTTGAACACAGCAT